CTCACTGTATTTAGTGAATAATAACCCCGTGTTAAAATATGTGCGTGAATATTTCTCATAAAACTGCATAGCATATATGAATGGGCCCCACTTATAGTTGGAGATACATGAATTTGAATTATTTTAAGCCCATGATAGGGAATATCTTTTGAAGTATGCTATTAAAGATTTAATATTGGCATTAGGGGGAGAGAAAGTCTATGTTGAATGCTAAATATTATTTTCATAGAAGAAAAATGGTCTTAAAAGAAAAATATTCCTTGAAGCTTGAAACAGTAATAGTATCACGCACTAAATCAAACAATAGTTTGACTAACGCTCTTGTAAAGCATGAAGTGGAGCATATGCCAGATATTTTTAAAAATGAGAGGAGTAACTTCAAGTTATAAACCAGAAGGTGTGTTTACTAGTAGTAAACTAAATATTGTATACTATCAAGCTAAAATCTACGGGGACGCCGTCTGTGGATTCAAGTTTAGTGTGTACTTGTTGGATAGAAATAAAATGAAACCCCTCCATTCTCATGAAGAGAACACCTCATGAAGAAGGTTAAGCACCTCATGAAGAGGATCATCATTAAGATGAAATCCAACACACTAAGCGCGCGCATCATTAGTGTTGGGTATGCAGAACAACAAATCATCTTTTGTTTGAGAAATAACAAACAGACAGAATAATCTCATAATATGAGAATATTGGGAGAAAATAATAGTTGTCAACAACGTTACCTCTATAATTGCAAATGTTTCTCTTATAAGAACTCGGATCCAAAAAATAAAGTCCATGGCAAAGTCGCCTGTAGCGATTATATCAGGTCAACGAAGAATGCAATTGAGGTTGAATCTCCTACTAAGAAAAAATAAATGTTCTGCTATATCTTCGGTAAATGAAATGAATGAATATGAAATATGCAGTTAATAAATGGATCACGAAGATCCATATAGTTCCTGAAGAATATAAATTGCAACAAATAGAAATTAAATCTCATACAAAGTATTAAGAAGTCTAAGGTACAATATATTCCTGAATGAATATTGAAGTCTCGAGAAGAGCATGTTCTAGAAGGAATAGTCATCAAATGACTTTGTAGTGAATAACACTATCTCATTGTATATATCACATAATAATCTCTCATGTAGTAGAGAATATATCTCATAGAAGAGAAATATTATTCACTAATAATGAGAACATCCTTGAAGGATTTAATCCATGAAGGATTTACCAGTCAATTCTTAAAAAGCGTCATTAATCCCTGAAGTGAATATAGACCCGAAAGAAAGCAAATGATGAATCATAAACACTATGAAGGTGTCATACAAACACTCAGAAAGTGTATATCGTAAAGCTAGCAATGAAGTTTTGGTATCCTCTAAATATCATAGAAAGTATGAGAATAATGGTCATTTTGGTAATTGAATTATCCCCTAAATGCCAAATGCAAGACTGTATTTATTATTTAGTGGTACAATCAAAATCCTAAAGATTTATAGAAAATATAATTTAGAAATCCACTAAGTAAGAATTAGAGAAGTATTCAAACTCTAGTATAAGATTTCATGCACTATCTAAAAGATATTGAATATTATAACTTATTTACTCCCACAATCCTCTGAAAGAATTTATTACCCTGAAGGATAAAATTTATTTGTTTTGCACAACTAATAAGTGGTTATTTATGCATGAAGCATATTGCTCTTGTTTACTCATATTATAATTTATTGAAGAATGGTAAGCCAACATTTTGAAAGATATAATATTATGGTACTGCATACCATTATTAAGCACACATTTATAAAAAGTGTGAACTGAACAATGAAATTCAAAGGATGGCTTTATGAAAGGGAGCAATTTGAGTAAATCTACCTTGAAGGTAATTAAAATCACTAGAATTACAAAGATCAAGTAGATCATATTTGCTAAAATGTTGAAGTTTATGCATAAATCATGAAGATAAATATCTATTCATGAAGAATAAAATATTCTAAAGAATACATGACTAAGAAGGTTAAATGTTGTACTCTTTTTTCCTATGTGAGTTTTTACTTGAAGGTTTCTCACGAAAGGTTTTTAATAAGACAATATGTGCAATGCAATTAATGAATGCGATGTACTCTTTTATTCGAGAACCATTTTTTCCACTGGATTTTCGGATGGAGTTTTTAATGAGGCATGTGCATATCGTGGTAATCGCCCAAGGGGAGTGTTGTAAAACATATGGACTTTATCCTAGAAGGAAAGAAAAAAGGAGAAATCCTAATCCTAATTCGTTTGTATGTGGGCTCTTACTAAACTCTTAGGCTTTGGCAGGACTATATATATGTGGAAGTTCTATATTGTAATCACCAATATTAAAAAAATAAAGAATAGTTTTCCTATCTCTTATGTCTATATATTCTACTTTCATCTACTATGTTGATCATGAGAGACGGAGAGGGAAGATCCTAACCGCTAGCACCATGTTTTATAACAGGGATTGCACGTTGAATGGGACAGCGAGCAGCCTAGGAGAGCCCACACACTACACCGCTCTCCACTCTGACACGCTCCCCTCTCTCTCCTCTGACATGCTCCATCTCCTCCCCTGTTCGGAGTATGTATGCACGCTCCCCTCTCTCTCCTCTGACATGCTCCATCTCCTCCCCTCTACAGTGCCGGCCCTAGAGAGGTGCCAGAGGTGCGACGGCCAAGGGCCCAGGGGAGAGGGGCCTAGACCCAGATATACTGTAGACCTCAACCCTATAGTCCGATGGCACTTGATAGACAGCCCAAGACGTCCAGGATCAGAGCGCCAAGCGCTTGCTTCCCCAGTCTGCGAGTTTACTACGTACGCGAGCGCCCAGGGCGAAGGGTCACGATCTCACGGAGTCACGGAGAGTCGGAGACGGAGCCACGACGCGTCGCCACGGAGAGCCGGAAACACAAAAATGGCGCACTCACAGGCTCGACTCGACGACGACGCGATCAGGCGGATCAACCGATCATCAGTTTATCAATCATCATTTCATTAGTTCATCAGCCGATCAGGCGCTAGCACCTAGGTATTTTTTCCCATGATTTTTTTTTAATCCAAATTAATTATTTCAGACTTCTAATACTCCTACTCATATAGTCGTGTTTTTGTTTTAATTTAGGTGTTAGAATCTTAGAATGTTACCTAAAAAACATTTGTCGGGATCTCAGAAAAGAAAACGAAAAAATCTAGAAGATCAATTTATTGAATCTTATTAGAAATGTGCTATACATAAGTGGACACTATTGATCTCGATACCGTCCTTGATGATTCTGCATCAAGAAGTACCCGAAGAAGTATTTTTTTATGAGAAGCAATGGATATTATGGAGTTCTATTCTTCCTTGTGATAATCATATTAGTTTTAGAAATACAAATATACTATTGTTTTAGTTTACTTTTTTTTACGGTCACCAGGGAAGTTTTCGCCACCTGAATTTTATTTGGCCCTCGTGGCATGCGATAATGTTTACCAGATGTTTATATTTTGAGAAAAATAGAGTTTACAGGCCACTCCTGGGCCGTTTTAGTTTACATTGTTCCTCGATAACTATCAAATATGTTAAATTAAAAATATATCATTGGATTTGTTTTCGCTTTACAATAAAAATTAGCACCTATATATTATAAGATTTTATATGTGGTCTAGAGGGCCTTCGTGACGAGTTCGTCAGAGGGCCCTCAAAATTCTAGGACCGGCACTGCCCCTGTACAGAGTATGTATGTGCGCCGGTGGAGTGCTGTGCAGTGCTGCTTGTGCATGCTGCTTTTGCGTAGGGGCAGGTGCAATATTCATTCCTTTAGTAAGAGCAAATTATATTTAATTGAACCATATTTTACTACTTCAGTTTAGATGTAATTTCTATATTCAACTGGTATAAATTGATTATTCGTAAATGAGATATGATCGAATTACTCTCTCTTTTTTGGCTTTTTTTATTTTCTGTATGTTTTATTTGGTTATCCACATTTATCTGATCTTTTTGGTTTTTTATTTTCTGTATGTTTTATTTGGTTCTCCTTTGATATTTTTCAATTTGCCTTCCATAGAAATAGTCTGGCTAATTTTTTTGTTTGTTTAATATTTTTTTTTTGATTGATTCAATGGTCATAATAATCAAGTGCTAGATGGTTAAAAAACACTTGATTTTTGTTTCTCCTGGAATCGAGCGTTGTAGGGGCTACAACCGCTCGGGTGACACGTGCGCCTAAATCACCCGAGCGGTGAGTATACAGACCCCGATCATCGACACAAACAAAAGTACAAGAGCTGTAAAACGGGAAGCCGGCGTCCAGAAAGCAGCTGCTTCCGTCGCTACATGGTGTGGCCTGTGGGTAGAGCCGGGAGCTGGAGGCCAGACGCCAGAGCACAGAGCAGCATCAGCGGCCGGCAACAGCCAACAGGTTGCCTATAACAGGGGCCCAGCCCAGCTTAAGCGAAAAGTCACTGCGGCAGTCATCTCAGTCTACAGCGACGAAAGGAGCGGCCCCGATTGGGACTCCACGAATTATTATCGAATTCAGCATTCAGCATATTGCATTTCATTCATTAACTTCCACAAATGCACAAAGCCTTGAACATGCATGCGCTCCAAGCTGAGCACCACATGAAAATCACTACAACCTTGTTGAGAGAAACTTACGGAAGTTATACTAGGTATACTACTGTAATTTACATTCCAAGCAGAGAACAGAAATGGCGACGCCAGCATCACGTGCAGTTCCACTCTCACGCTGCGACCTCTTCTGACTGCCGGTAGTGCCGGCGGGAGACATGCTAATTAGTTATTCCAACATGCTAGAAGAACACACCAGCCAGCCATCATGCTAATCAAGAAGCTGAAGCTAAAACAAACTTCTCCAACTCCCAGTCCCATCAGGTCGATCGAGCTCGAGCCATCGGAGCTTCATCGATCGGTGACCGGCCGCCCGGCCGGTCGGCTGGCGCTGGCACAAATGGATCAGCCGCTGGCCCGCTGCTAGCTTGTTCCTTAATTAGCTGTAGAGGGTGACGAGGCGGCGGAGCACTTGGTGCAGGAGTACTTGCGCTTGCTCTTGAAGCACAGCGGCAGGCCGAGGATGCGCCGCTCGCTCTCCACGTCGACGGCCACCACGGCCCCGCCGCAGCGCGGGCACGCCCCGGGCGCCTTGTGCGTGCCCACCACCCGCTCCTTCTCCGCGCCGCACAGCACCCGCACCGCGCCCATCGTCGCCGCCATTTTCCTTCTCCTTCCTGCGCGCGCGCTGCTGTTAGCTGCCTACTCTCCGGGCTCTCCAACAATGGAAAAACCGAGCGAGCGAGCGATATGGAGCAGAGAAAGAACTGAAGAAGACGGCCTGGTTGGCCTGGCAGGATTGGAGCAGGATCGAGGATGGAGCGTCGATCGATAGATATGAGGGAACTGGGATTCTGCTGGTGGTTGCCGGCGCTCGGTTGGCCGTATATATAGAGGCCGAGGCGGAGGCCGGAGTGCAAGGGCGCAGCGCAAACTAACGCAAGCAAAGCAGCCGCGCGCGCTCGTTGCTGCAGTCCTGGTGGACGCACTCGATTGGGTTTTCGCCTGGTGGTGCACTGCAACGAGTGGAGAGGAATGGCACACGCCGTGGCGTGGAGACGAGGAGCCTGTTTGGCTGTTGGGTTCGTTGCTTCCGTTTTCCAACGCCTCGGCGGGGGAAACGTCTTTCCGTTTCCGGCAATCTGCACGTTTGATCCAGCTAATACTATAACCGAATTTGGTTAATCGAGGCTAGCTGACGCGTGTGCGCACGAGCCAGACTGCTAAATATCTTCGATATTTGACGATATATAATTAAGCAGGCGTGTGTGCACGAGGGCGCAGCGCTTGTACGTGATCTAGCTATTCGTACAGACGTTTAGGAAAAGTTTGGCGTACCTTATATTGTTATTGATTCGGTATATATAATATACAATATAAGGTTATGCACTAAATTTAAAAGGATCAATATCTTTTTATATTTTCTCCCTTTAATTACTCTTGCTCATCATCACATTGGATTACGAGCAAACTTAACAACCACACGTAAATAAAGTTTGGTGAAAATGTCCCTGTTCCATTATTTTTTTGTGCAAGAACTTGTCTTCCGAATAGATCAAACTAATTAAGGCTTTTGCTAAAAAGATCAAACTAATAAGGCTAGTATTTGATTTTTTTTATGCGATTAAATTTTCCACGTATAGTCTTTTGCATTCACGTGTAAGCAAACGGATATCCAATTTTTGGCCCTTGGAAAACTCTTGATTTATTTGACAAAATTTTCTCTGCGATATGTTTAATTAACAGTCTTGTGAGGTCAGACGACAGGAGTTAGCCGACGGATTCGTCACCCTACCTGTCGGGGACCGAATATTGGGTACCCAAAGAGGAGGAGCTAATAACCATTAAACGTTGATGCTTCCGAACAGGTAAGAACGCGACTACACCTTGTCCGTCCACCGAGACCATGGGATCCGCCTCGCCCAACCCCCGGGGGCTGGCTCCGCCTCGCTCGACATCCGGGAGCAGACTCCGCCTCGTCCGACGTCTGGGGGCTGGCTCCTACTCGCCCGACGTCTGGGAACAGACTCCACCTCGCCCAACGTTCGGGGGCAGACTCCGCCTCGCCCGACGTCCGGGGGCTGGCTCTGTTTCGCCCGACGTCTGGGAGCAGATTCCGCCTCGCCCGACGTCCGGGGGCTAGCTTCGCCTCTCCCGACGTCGGGGAGCAGACTCCGCGCTCGCCCGAGCCCCGAGGGCTGGCTCCGCCTCGCCCGACGTCTGGGAGCAGACTCCGCGCTTTCGCCCGACCCCCGGGGGCTGGCTCCACCTCGCCCGACGTCCGGGGGTTAGCTCCGCCTCGCCCGACGTCCGGGGGCAGGCTCCCCCTCGCCCGACGTTTAAGGGCGGACTCCGCCTTGTCCGACGTCCGGGGGCAGAATCCGCCTCGCCCGATGTCTGGGGGCTGGCTCCGCCTTGCTGGACGTCCGGGGGCAAACTCCGCCTCACCCGACGTCTAGGGACAGACTCCGCCTCGCCCGACGACTGTGCGCTGCTCCTTCATAACTACGCACGCAGATAAGGCAGGACACTCAAGTCAACCGTAATACCGAGGACCATACCCTGCACCATGCCCTGCACGGCTGCAGGAAAGTACCGACAGGATATGACAAGACAGACGCTTTAAGGCCCTTCCGGGCATGTCAAATCCCAAACAGTGTTGTAGGCGCCGATATTTGTTTTACAGTGTTGTGGACGCTGCCACTGGCCCTCGGGCGCGGATCCTGACAGAACCATACGACAACCACTACAGTCCAAGAGGAGACTCCCGTCCTCTACAGTGACGGATGTGCAGTCACCGCGCCATCCGCTCCCCGTGGGATTGCGGATCAACACCCTGGTCCGTCGCGTCGCCCACCGGGGCGGGATGGGACGTGACCACTTGTTGATCAAGACAGAGCGTGGCATCATCAACGGACAGACGCCCAGCATGGAGCTATCCCTGACACCGTCTGCCGCGAGAAAAAAGGAAGACCCCGCACCTTCGAAGGACCTTCTTTGCCTCTGGTTTTTCTTCTTTCTCCCATCTGTAATCCCTACTCTCCCTTGATCTATAAAAGGGAAGGTAGGGCACCCCACTAAATGGACCGATCGATTCAACACATATCACACCACATAGCTAAGCAGCATCCAAGCTCTTAGCACCCGTTCGACCTTTCCATCAGAGACTTGGGACATGTCCCTCTCTCGCCCGTTTGTACCTCCTACTACGAACCTCTCAGTGCGAATAACACAAGCAACAACCACAAACTGGACGTAGGGACATTCTGCCCGAACCAGTATAAACCTTGTGTCTTTAGCACACCATCCGGGCTTAACACGTAATAATATAAATTAACCAATGCATGTGCAATAATTATTGTACGGCCTAAGGTAAAATACGAATAAGTATAATTTTTTTTTGGGAGCAAAGAGAGAAACTTTATTAGGTAGTCACGGGCAAATTACAATCGGCCCGAAGGAAGGACCAGGCGTTAGCAACTTGATTGCAATCTCTCTTTACTTGGAACACTTCCAGTCTCTCATTAGTCGGACCAGTCCGCTTGCCTCCTCCATGATCGGACCCACCTCCGATGAATAAGCACACATTAATTAGATGATGCATACATTACCACTTGATTTTCTTGACCTGGACTAAACATTCGATATAAGTAGATGAAGTTAAATTAATAAACCGTGCGCACGTCTTGCTTTTCCGAAGTTTATATACAGTTATAAATTAAACCATATGCAGTTAAATAATACGAATAATAAGACACGTTAATGCTTGCTGTATAACTTTGCAGCTTCCTAAATGGATTCCATATAGACGTGCGCACCATGCATGTACTCCTACGCGGCGGCGGAGCTCCGACGAACTCCCTAGCGCGCCGCGGTGAGGGCAAAGGTAGGAGGAGGGCGGGGTCGAGGACGAGCGCGGGGTGCTGAACGGCGAGGAGAGTACGGCAGAGGATCGGAGGGGCGCGGAAGGAGACCGACGCGAGGGTGAAGATGGGTCTGTCACGCCGTAACGTCGTCCCTAACGGAGTACGGCGGTAGTGCTCCGATCCATGTGCAATTTTGGCTCTTTTTTTCCTTATATAAGACGTGGTCACGTTTTTGTCATTGTGGCACTATTTTCTTAATTCGTGTGAACGCATGGGGCAGTACTGTAGGAGTATGATCTATGGACGTCGTCAATTCTGCCGGCTGCCTTGACTGTTTAGCTAGCTCGCATTTGGACCAATAAGCCCATCGTGATTATTAACTGAGTCTGTCGAGCGATACGCACACCTTCATCCGTTAATCTGACAAGCAATGAGCGGTTAAGTATACCTGCCTTATACGTAGTATACTAGCTTGCAGCTGGCCGATCGACGAGGTGAGTGAAGGTAGAGATGGGTGATAAATCAATACGTGCAGCACACGGTGGCCGCGGGAAACCGTCGTCCGGCCGGCGGGCGTCATGGCATCAGCAAGGCGACGCGGACGGGGATCGGATCGGCCTGTCGAGTCGAGGGGACCGCCGCGCCGCAGCAACAGCAACAGCAACAGCAGCACGGGCAGTCGGGCACCAACGCAGCAGGTCTTGCTGCTGCGCAAGGGGGCTGGCCGGCTGTTTGGCCTGGCGTAGGGTCACTCCTGGTCCCCCGGCCGGCACGTGACACGCGCCAGGCCCAAGCGCGCGCGCGTCCATGTATGCATCATATATACGGAGTATGTCCGCGGCGCATGACGTAGGAGTAGTAGTACACGGGTGGATTTGCTGATGGGCATGGCCGTTGCAAGCTAACAAACATCATCATGAAGGACACGATTTATATATATTACTGTATTATTACTGAAAGGTGAAGTAAAATCCTTGTGCAATCACGCACATACCGTTGAAACGACTAGACATTCATGATGGCATGCATGATGCCGATCGCCTCTCGATCAGAAAGTCGCACGACGTACGCACGGCACCTAACTTGAGAGACGACTGAAGGTAGGAACAAAAATCGTAGAGTTTCTGCACAAATGAAGCTAAGGGACAAGCCATGACGACGTTGGGTCGTGGTCGTGGCACTACACAAACACAACGAACCCAGCTACCATGATAGATAGCATCGTAACCGCGATTAATCAATGAAATGATACCAAGCAGCAAGCACACGCCGTTTTCGCCGGACCCTGATCTTCGCAATATTGCTTGTTTCGCACTCTCCTATCCTTCTTCTAGCGATATCTCGCCGTGGTAGATTCAGAGGAATATACCATGGACGGAAAAAAGGACATGGAGAGATCGTCGTACGTGAGCTGGCGTGCATTCTCCCCTTGCTCGACCCGTGACAGCCTCGATCGAGGACTAGTACGATCGAGTGCCGAACCACAAGGGAAATCAGCGGCAGACAGCGACCCAGGGAGAGGGACCGTAAATGGCTCGCCAGCCCTCACCGGGGACTCGACCGATCGGGATCGGGTTGTTGTCGTATATATATATATATTGTCTAACGTGACTTTGGCTGGAGAAGAACTGTGGAATTGAACGTCCAACTCCAACCTACCGACCCCCAACGACCCAACCAAGGTCTGATTACTGACAATTACCATGCATGATATATGCTGCATTCATCACAACACAAGCATGGTGTCACAACTAACAAACATCCAATCCGGTGGCTTGCTTGTCGTTGAGGTCGGCG